CCTTGCATTAGGTAGCTTTTTTAATGTTGGGGAGAGGTTTATTGCCTTCCCAAATCATGAGTTCCTCGGATAGCGTCATATCGTAATTTAGCTACGCAATTGGCCATTCTTGTCTTCCATTTCACACAGTATTTTTACACTGGTACTTACTATGGTGTCAGTTGAGTCCCAGGAGAGAATTTTTGTAGGTCAGGCAGCGTTTGCAGATGGCTGAAGTGGTGTTGTTCGTTGAGCATTTTTGTTGGCACACGTGTGTTTGATAGCAGTCCGGCTTGTGAAGTGATGCCGACCGGTCGCGTGTTTCAGTTCTTGCGTTTGCCCGTCCGGTAGCACCTCGCGTGGTCAGGTAACGTATTAATCTTAATTGTCCCAGTTCGTGGCGCGTAATAACTTCAAATTTGGATGTTGTATTTTCTTTAATCGTATTTTTTGTGGTTTCATTTTTTCTTTTTGCAGTCATTTTTATTAATTGATTATTTTGATTAGGCTTGTGACTAACCGGAGTTGTCCTGCTAGTTTTTAAAGGTGGATTTTTACGCGGGATCTTAGGAGACCCGAAACTTTCTTAAACCGGTCTACATCTGAAATTATTGATATTTTGTTTGATATTTCGGCCTAATTTTCCACCGAGAAAAAAATAGGGAGGATTTGCTAACTAGACCCACCACTGATAGAATTCTAAGACATAAAGTTCTGCAACAAGTTTTTGAGAAAGACACTAGTCTCGGTGAGAAGGTGACTGCTTAGAGGGTCAGTAACATCATGCAGATGAAAAATAAATTTGACACGAGGCTAAGCATTAGTGCTGGTGCTAAGGAGAAGAGAAAAACTGGAGGCTGTGGTGTGATGAAGGTAGAGGAGGAAATGTGAAGAAGGAGATGCTAATGCCACAGATTGGAGCCGATGCTGTGAAGAGCGCACTGAAAGGTGCACTTGAAACAGTTAAAAATGCCAGAAGCTGGAAAAAATTAAGCCGGTGTCTCGAATTCTTCTCATCCCAAGTAGAATTGGTGAAATTCTATCAGTCCGGACTCACTTCAACAGGTGCCCTAGCAAGTGGAGCTGCTGGTATAACCAAAGGTATTAAGACTTCAAAACATGCCAGAGCCGAAGTGCAACAGAGTAAGTAAGAATCTATCGCTCACGATAATGACAATGACTCCGGCACCCATTAGACGGCGTGTAAAAAGAAGAATCATGAAGTTATCTACTTTGACAGCGATGGCAATTCGCGTCCACCGCAAGAGTTGGTTAATTATTTCGGTAGCGGCAGTGTTGTGAAATATAACGCTAAACATTATCGAAGCTATGATACTATCATCGGTGGCCAGTTATGTTTGGAGTTTATGGCTGGTGAATTGATATAAAGCTGAAGAAAAGTTGAAAAGTTGACTCTGTTGAGTGATTCAGTTACTTTGTACCCATTGAATTATTGCCAGTGTGCATAGCATTCACGAATTCTTTCCAAGCCTGTGACCTGGATATAAGATTAGTAAAACACCTGCCGTGGCCATTTAGTTGCACATCGTTGTATAGTCAATAAACCATCTACTATCGAGAATTGTAGATCAAAGAGATCACCTTGTGAATTCTCGCGGTAAAGTCATCAAAACACGAGTTTATATAAAAGCTCATTGAAAGTGAATAATGGTTATTGTGTTTGAGGGAAAAAAGTGAGTCGCATATATAAAGGTGAGAAATGATGCCGGCAAGCGATCAGTTGTCGAGTCCATCTCACGGAGCTAACATCGCATCAAGTTCCTGAAAACTCTGGGTTCGAAAATTGTCGGAAAACAATTGGTATAAATTAATTCTCCAGGTTACTGGAATTTACCCCCTGCTTTTTTTCATTTATAGAATCTTGAGTGAATTCGATTTCCTAACTTTGTCCCTTCTTTTACAACCTTCGATTCCCGTTTTCTTTTTATGCTGTGTGTACCACAAGTCGGATATCCTTAGCCTCTCCCTTGAATCAGTAGTCAGAAACCAAGAATATTTTTTGTAGAGACTTTTGTGTCACATTAAATCTACCAAAGGAAATATATCTTTATTTCATTACTTTCTAATTATCCCGAGTAATTCACTCACCTCCCCCCCGCCCTTTTTTTTTCTTTTTCAGGTCCTCTATTGACCTTACAGACTATTTTTCCCCAATGACTCAGACCCCGAAATGTTTGTGCCTTGGCAGGAATTATTCAATATTATTTTTTTTCTAGCCAATGCCATATCCTAGTGTAGAATATCTTGATAATTGTTCCTAATCACCCTTCTCTCGACATATTTCCAACAATTATCTACAAATAACCGCTGTTGATGACAATTACGTTTGCTTTGCGTAGTACTCAATATTTGTTGGTGTCGAGAATTCTTTAAAACATCAAGAAACATTTCACTAATTAATTTTTTTGGAGTTTTCGGCTAGCTCTCCCGAATTAAATGAATGATTCTTTTTCAAAATCAAATCCTATTTTTCAAGACCTCAAACAATGAACAACCCAAATTTAAAGCTCAATAAATAATAACCGAAGCTTTCTTTGAATTTAATCCCTAATCTATTTTAAAAACTTAATCCTTGAGTGATTTAATCGCCACGCTCTCGGCCTCCTGACACTCAGCTATCGTACATTGTGTTCTCGGTGAGGTGTTCCTCGAGATCGATCTACGCCTCTCGCACTCTCGCAGGTATGCCCTCGGTATCCCGAACCATTCTTCTATTCTCTTTATCATTTTCGTTCTGGGCTTCAGTTTATTGATGTTGTGTATCCGTGGACCCTGGGCCACGATCCTCGATCCCTAACGTCCTGAGCAACCCAGGGCTTTCTGGTTCCATCCCATTCGTCATTGGCTCCTTGATTCTCGCCAATCACTGGAGGATGTGTTATCTAAGATGAGAAAGAGACCGAGAAAGTACTATTTCCTCTCCTTTGCTATAACTTTCTCTTTCACCAGGCAGAGTAATGCAGTATCAGTCGATCTATTCTGGTAAGATCGTAGGTATATTGTGAGAGACTAAAGGGCACGGATTGAATCGCTTTTTTTTTATCGAAATCATTACTTTTTTTTTAATTGAAAAACCAAATCTAGATTTGTTCATACCATTCTCAGATAGATTGCCGAGACAACCTCGGAGACAACAAATATTACATCAATTTGTTAAATTTTTGATAATGCATACTGTTTTCCATTTGAAACACGCCAAACATACTTGTCTTTTCGTCTTCTATTATCAGCAATTTGCAAGTCTATAGAATTGATAGAAAAAGAAAATTAAAGACACAAGTAACGCCTAACGTAATAACCAGAAGTCTTCTATCGGTGGGAACGGCCAACAGCTGGTTGAGTTTGATCTTTATTCATTTACTAACCGCCACTGAAAACGTTTATTGTGTATTAGCATAAGAGATATTACTTGAATGGAATAGTATATTTCTCACCTAGGGAGGTAAAGTAAAGATAGTAGGATTAGAGCGTTCAATGAATGACGGTAGTATTTCTTTTCTTTTTATGTAACTCTCTTGGGCTTTTGCGAGTTATCCATGTTTCCCTTTGTACTGTATTCGCTAAAGTACCAAAGAAAAACCTCACCTGAGGGAAAAACTTGTGGTCAGCTACGGTCGTCTGTCTTTCTTACGAGACTGCCGCTCAACCATGAAGGGAGAAATCAGAAATGCCAGAAATGGTCCTGCCGGGAATCGAACTCACGATTCTGTGAATACCGGTCTGACACCTTAACTATTTGGCCTTTAGCGGCGATTGGTAATATTTCTCTTTTCAGTGTATTCGGGATTAAGGGGGAGCAGCAGCAAAAAATTAAAAATTTCCCAATATACCAAAGTAATGAAACTTTGCGGTTTAGTTAGTCAAGCAAATTCATAACTTTTACGAGAATTTTCTCAGAATTTTTTTGAGTATAGATTTCGTGAAGTTTTTAGTAAAAAACGCCTCATCCACAGGCCCAAATGAAATGGTTATTTTGCGTGAAAATTGTCACTATCAACAATATACGGGAAGTGTGAATAATGCATACTCCAGTAGATGTCTACTACATGAAGGATCTTGCAGAGTTTCATTTTTTGAGTAAAAAATAATTGATTTTTCTTTAAAAAAAAGTGAGAAAAATATCTCAGGTTCAGGTTGGAATCAGCTGAAATGGCAGGGAAACTTGGCAACATAGATGAACAGTAGCGCACGCATGTGCGGTATTCGGCTGCGCGGGCGGTTCAAAATACTAATGGGAATTTAAAGACGAAACTTAAATTGGAATTTTAACTTTCTTAAAAAATATTATTCTCATTCAACAACGTAAAATAGTCCCATAATCGTAGCAATGAAGATTTAGAATTCATTTTTCCTCTGCACTTAACTAATTAGTTTTTGCAACTAGCATTTAATATTTTTCACATAAAAAATAGTGAAATAGGCGACATAACCTCTGGAATTTGTCAACATTGAAATTTGCAGATAATTGCCCGTTTTCACCGATACATACCAATCCTATGAAAATCACCACCAATGAATATGTTGTTGCCACGTCGCGTCCATAAAAATACACGAAATTATTTAGTTTGTTAATTCATTTCGACTACTGAAATTGTTTTTTATATCGTCATAAATGTATAACTGCCAAAAATGAAAAGCGTGTCATTTATATGGATTGTTTTAATTTATTCATGTGCTGTTATTATTATGTATTATTCACTAACAGTTGGAACCCTGAGTAGGAGCCGTTCACGGAGCCTTCGAAGTTTAGACGCACCCTATGTCCCCAAAAATATGCTATTGATCCTTCTTAAGTTTTTTTTTTCTCATTTATAGCAAGCAAAGAATTTTTTTAAGACTATAAAAGCTTCACCGAAACTGTATCCGTTATTTCAATAGAATTTTTTAATGCCATACATTTTTTCTCGTTTTGCGTTATAAGTCCTGATGTATACGTTACTGTAGCCTCAACATAAAAAGAAAAATCATAACCATTAGTCGTACCATTTCTCCATGTTTTTGCAGACAATAAAAGGACATGTTTCATAGGCCAGTGAGCGCTACGACAAGACAAGAGGCTGAAATGGTTAATTGGGCTCAAAGAGCCGTTCACGGGGCAACGGATTCTATTGAGAAACTGCGACTACTCTGTCTAGCACGTGGAGCTAATGGTATTCTTGGGCTAGCCAGGTAGGCAATGCTGATTTTGTATTAAACTGAATAAAGTGAATTGACATTGATAGACATGGAATAGTTACGGATAAGCAAAATCATAAAAATATACTATTTCAACATGCCTGCAAAGGAAACTTCATATTTGCTGTCTGGAAAGCGGGAGGAAAGTGAATACTTTCCCCCCTAGAGTGGAAAGTTGCTCCCAAGGGCGGAAAATACTGTCTTTCCCCCCGCTTATCAGGGAGCAAAGTGCGAACTTTCCGTGCAGGTGTGTTGAAAAAATAATAGTTCTGTTTTCCGTCATCCGTCTAAAAGTTAATTTTCTTATACCACTGAATCTATAGCATCTGACAAAAAAAACTACGGTAAATGTATGCGTTAGGTCCACCAAAAAACAAAAATCATTGAAATTATTAATTTCTTTGAATGAAAACCATTCTTATCCTTTCAGTCGTCAAAAACAAGACGAAAGAAGAGAGAGAAAAGACAAGAAGAAGAGAAATACATCGATAAATAGTTCTGAGGTAAACTCTGTTGTCCCTGAAATTCCTTGAACCCCCCTTTCCCTCTGCTGTCGCTGTTGAGAATCCCTGAAAAAACATCCCCGGAAAAAATATCCCGGAAAAAAAATCCCGGAAAAAATATCCCCGGAAAAAATATCCCCGGAAAAAATATCTCCGGAAAAAAAATCCCGGAAAAAATATCCCCGGAAAAAATATCCCCGGAAAAAATATCTCCGGAAACATATCCCCGGAAAAAATATCCCCGGAAAAAATATCCCCGGAAAAAATATCCCGGAAAAAATATCCCCGGAAAAATTATCCCCAAGAAAAATTCTAATATTTAATTCCTAATAATAAATATTTAAAAATCCTAATTTTAATAATTTACAAAATGCAGTTCAGAAAAAAATTTCTGTATTTCTTATGACATATAAAAGGGTTAAGGGTTCGATTCCCCATGAAATTAAAATCATCTTTTTTTTTCCCAAATTTTCATTTAATGTGTTATGTGGGGGGGGGAGGGGGCTTCGCCCCTGGGCCCCACGGGGGCTCCGCCCCTCGACCCGCAAGGGGCTGCGCCCCTGGCCCCCCCTCTGCGCCCCAGCACATTTGGAAAAATATGTACATAAAAAAAAGGGCGACAGAAATGAAATGTATGATAGGGGGAATATTTTTTCCGGGGATATTTTTTCCGCCACCCGCTGTTGACGCGACAAGTGAGTGATATTAAATTCAATATTTTGAATAGCTACAGAAGGGTAGCGGCGGATGTGAATGCAGAGTCTTAGTGAAGCGCTAAGGCCTATTAGATAAATCCATCTTTCTGTGTGGCCATTGTCTTAAAATGTGCTAACATGTGGTGTTTTTGGGGCCGACACACGGCCATGTGCTCGCCGTGACCCTGGAGAACGCAGACAGCGGTGTATTAAATGTCAAATCTCCCACACTAATTGTTTCCGAATGAAAAGGTGACAAGATCCTTAATGAGGTGACGTAAACCCACCCAACCAAATAAAAAAAAACCATAATGGTTTGGTGGACCTGAACTAGACATTTATCAAAACTACTTGTTTTAGAAGAAAAACTGACCTTTCAAATATTTAAAATACGACAGGTCCAATTTGAATAACTCCTTCATCCCCAGTCATTTTTATGATTAAAATTTTGTAATGATTTTAAAGAGTTTTTCGCCGAATGGATGAGGATGGGAATAAACAATTAAGCAAAGAAGAGCTCACAGATGGCCTTACTGAAGTGGGTTTCGAACTTGATGAGGGTGAGATTGATGAATTAATGTCTAAACTCGATGGTGATGGAAATGGAAGTATAGACCTTACCGAATTCATTGCGGCTGTCCGTGTGAGTATTGCGAACGATGTGTAATATAAATTAGTTTCATGGCAACAAATCATCAAATCCGTATTTTTTCTTACAAATATACTCAAAAAACTCCTACAAATTTATTGTGAAACTGCTTTCGTAAGAAATAGTAATTTATGCTGGAAGGGCTGAAAACTATTTGTGGAACGGATTTTATTAGAATCTGCGTCAAAGGCGCAAATTGCGATCAAAGGTGTTGCTAAAATGCTTCTTAAACCGTGTAGCATACTTTATGTTACTTTATGTAGCGAGGTCCGATCAACCGAGTATTTTTATTGCCCTAGGGATGTAAGTACAAAGCAAGGCGATGAGCGGCCACTTACCCCCTTGGGCAATAAAAGTATGAAGTTAGAGAGATTCTCAAATTCCTCGATTATGAAAATATTTGTAAAATTATGGGAATTCATGGTATTTGAATTGGTCTTTGAATCATTTCATCTTATTAGTGAACGAACGGAACAGTTAATGGGCGTTTATGTCACTCGGCCGCGCCCGAACCTTGCACTTTTATTGCCCTAAGGAGGTAAGGGGTCATTTATTGCCTTGCTTTTTAGTTATTTTGCTAGGGCAATAAAGTATTCGGCTGGTCGGGCCTCGTAACATAAAATAACATATTCCACACTTGTCGCATACATTACCATTCATTTCAGCCACCAATGTCTGAGAATCGGCGAAAAGTAGTGCATCAAGCTTTCCAGAAGTTGGATAAAACTGGGGACGGTGGGATCACCTATGAGGATCTTCGTGGCGTCTACAATGTGAAATGTCATCCTCGTTACATCAGCGGAGAGGAAAGTGAAGAGAGTATTATGAATAAATTTCTTGGGAATTTCGAACAAGAAGCAACAAAAGATGGTATTGTGAGTGAAAAAAAATATTATTTCTGTACCTCATCGATGAAAGTTTTTCAACGGTAATGGCGATTATTTTTTTTATTGCCAATAAAAGTAAAATAAAAAAAAGAAAAATTATTTTTATTGCAGGTTACTGAAGAGGAATTCATGAATTATTACAGTGCAATTAGCGCCAGTATTGATCATGACGCTTATTTTGATCTTATGATTCGTAATGCCTACAAGTTGTAATTCGGTGTACGCCTCTACGTTTATTTTCCATGATCTCTACGAACATACGTTCTCTTTCTTGATAAACCGAAGCATTAGCTATAGCATAACCTACAATAAATGAAGATAAACACATAAAATATTTAAAGTGAAAAAAATGCGCCCATTTGATTTCGTACGAGTGTCCATTTTCATCACATTCTTACTTTAATATGCTTATGCCCAACAGTGAAGAGTAATATATAATTGAAACAGCTGAAGAAATTCCATAATGATGCATTTCTTTATTCGCAGCAGAAAATGTCTTCTATCGTCTTCTAAGAAAATCACATAAAAATTAATTTTTCCCTGCGTAAATGGTATGGGTTAATCTAGCTCTGAAGGAAACAAAAGTAGGCGCAACCAGCTGACGATAAGTTTGACAATGTGTTATTAAGGTTGTTGTGCCACGATAGTCTTAATTCATTGCATTGTGCATGACTAGTTAAAGCATAACCATATATTTTCCATATTAACTATTTTCATTTATATAAATTTATGGATTTTCAATAATTATATCGCGTAAACGAAATGGTCGATCGATTTGATTTTTTTTCTGTATTCCCTCCCACGATATATATTCCATGTTTTTTTTTTATTTCGAGAACTGTGGAACAAAAATTTTACGCTACAATAACCTTACAGGTCTTGTTACTTTTAGTTCCTACTCGACTGATATAGTCGCTCTGTTATTTCGTTAGATTAAGATTAGTTTAGATTCTAAGGTTTAGTTAAATATCAGACATATCGCTCTGACACTAATAAATGGTTGAGGAATCCACTACTGATTGTGTTCTTGTGTATTCACGACTAATTAATGTATTAAGCTGTTTATTTACAAATAATTAAATTCAGTGCCTAGTGTTCGTATTCGGCTTCAGCTAATTTTGAGGACTGAATAGTTCAACGTTTAAATTTAATTCTAAGGAAAAAGGACCGCACTGTTGCAGATTTTTTTATTGATAATAGTTTAAACAATACTTTTTATTGATGCAAATATTGTATGAAACTAACTTTTTATTACCGGTTAGCTGAATGGCCGATGGTAATTCCAGGACGGAGAACGAACAAGTGCCTTAAGAAAGCATTCCCCCACTGTACTACACTGAGAAAAAAAGTCGATCAAGTATTTATGCGATTAATCGTCATTCAATCTTTTTACTTCTGAATGGAAGCCTTGTATTTGACTGATTTTTTGATTCTCTGATTTCAATTGCAAGTTATCTCAGATGTTATGAAACGGGAAAAACGATATTTTACATCATGTTTATGTGTATATACTGGACGATTTGAAATTTTACAGATTAATTTTAAGAAAAGTCGACATAAATACTGTAAAATTTGTCGCTAACAATCTAAATTTGTAATCTATGATACCTAGCATTAACTTTTCCTTTGGTGCGTCATTTCTGTTCTATTAGTCCAGTACTTTCAGAGAGAGAGAGAGCAACTTTTGTTTTTTATGAATATGCAACTACTGCAAGGATTTTAATTTTTTTTCAAAATACTTGTCTCAGTGCGCTTCATCTATATTCATCAAAATATCTACATTTGTGGAAATAAAATTTCCTGATATCGCCATTTTTATTTTATAAAATTTGTGAACATAATTAATTAGCAAAAATAAAGATAGTGGGTTGAAATTTTGTACACTGGCAGATCCCATAACATAGAAAATTCATATTTTGGATGGGTGCAATCGGCCAAGGGGTTTCAGGGACATTACAACGTTTGTGTGAATTTATTTCCTTGAATATCTAGCTAGCTAGATGTATGCAAGTGAAACAGAGTTACCCGTAAGACAATAGATAATAAGTCGACGATTTGACGAACAATTGTCGACATAGCATCCGAAATGCTGCCGTGGAATTGTCGATAAAATTGCGGTATATTTTAGTTATCATGAAAATATCAAACATCAAGGTTATCAGCGAAGGTATCTATCTTGAGGACATTTAATGGCAAAATCTATAGTCTGTAACGATGTTTTCCCCGGAGTGTTCCGTAAGTCCGGGGAATTGGTTACCTTCGCCGGTTCCATAGCATCCGCAAATTTACCAGGAGGGCGCCAGCTATTTTAAGTGGGTAAAATAGCAAACCAGAGAGCTGCCTAGTTGTTAATGATACAATTAGGAAATACCATTTGAGCCGCCTAATTGTTGAGGACACAATTAGGAAAGACCGAATTTACCGGTGGAGGTGGGGGTTAGCACCTCCCCAGAGATAACCGATAACAGATACGGACGAGAGCACAGAACGGTGGGGTTTGCCCGTTCTCGCGACAGGACAGACAAGAAGTTCCGCCTAGTTGTTAAGGACACAATTAGGAAAGACCGAGAAGTTTCCGCCTAGTTGTTAAGGACACAATTAGGAAAGACCGAGAAGTTTCCGCCTAGTTGTTAAGGAGACAATTAGGAAATACCGAGAAGTTTCCGCCTAGTCGTTAAGGAGACGATTAGGAAAGAACGATAAGTTAAAATTAGGTGCGTGACCAGAGATCGTCACTGTCCCTTTCCCAGGGCGCAGTGAGGACCTCTGGAGACTTCCCGCGAAATACCAAAAATGGCGGATGTAAAGTTAGAACACGTGCGGGAGCACCGGGTCGCTCAGTATGCTAGGTTATGGAGAGGGTCGGAATTCTTTTTAGTATGGTCGGTCCCCGATAGCGTCGGAAGGTTGGTAAGGTAGGGTGATCAATGGCAGATCAGGTCGATAGAGGCGAGAGCGATCGGTAATTAGAAAGCGGTAGAACGCCGATAGCTGCCGATATGCGCTAGCATCGCGAGAGCTCTAGGTATAGGTATACCTTCTACTATATTCCGTTAGCTCAGCCTCATAGCTGTAAGAGAGATAGCGATAGGTAAAGCGATATGGCGGGCTATATAGCCACACTAATCATCGAGAGCTACGGGCTGTCAGAGCCCGGGGCCGAGTGGCCCGTGAGAGTGCCGGAGCAACTCTGACGTGTGGAGTGGAGAGTGCTCCCTAGTAGTTCTGCTCCCCACTCCCGACTCACGCGGTTGGAGTGCGTGGGGGATCATCCGTGGTACTTATCACCACCGCGAGGATATCCCTGCTGGTAACGTTTCCTGGAGCGCGCCGAATTCAAATGTCCCCAACCAGGCCGTCCAGTTAACCCCTTATCTGGACCCCCGGCCATTTGAATGCCCGCCCCGTCTAACGTGGAACAGTTCTCTGGAGTGGAGAACCCAGTGTTCCGACAGAGGAGTCTCATTGGAAGCTGAGGTTCAGTACTATAACCTCAACTTCCCACACGTGGGGATTTGGCGGACCCAAACGGTACATCAGAGAGCGTAATTTATTCCAATAAATATTTTAAATCATTATGAACGCGAAAAATCACGTTACAAGTCAATTGTAATAACAAAATTAACCTACAATTTATCATTGAATTTATCGTCAAGATTTTCTCTAAAAAACCTCAGCAATATGTCGGCTATTTCTTTCATGAAAATTGAGCACAACATTTCTGACAACTTGCCGTTAAAAGTATCCGCGAGATTGCAGATAAAATTCTTCCGAAAATTGTCGTCAAATTTATGGTTAAATAGGCAGATAAAATTTAGGTCAAAATTGCTAATAAAATTTTCTGAAAAATTGCCGTCACATTTATCGCCAAAGATTGTTGACACGATTTTCCAGAAAGATTTTAAATATAAAATTCAAAAATAGGAATTCGAAAAGAAACCTTAGGAAATATATTTTGGAAATGGTCTTTCGTTTTGCAAACGAAACTCAAACACGAAAAATAAATTTTCGCATTTATGAAATGAGAAAATAAATGTTCTTTTTATTTCTGTGGTGAATCGTATCTTCAAACTTGTAATTTCGATGAAATGATATAATCTGGGACTGGAAATTTGGTGCAGCTAGGCACGTGTCAAGTTTTTATTACAATGTTTTTCCGATTCGACATTGTTCGAGTTCATTTTTGTTAGTACAATTCCACCGTTTGGATTTCCAAGGCACCCATTTTCATCATATGATAGTACATATTCATACAATATCAACATACATATCCACCGCTTTTTCCATTGACCATGGTCATTCATCGAAAATCTCGGATATACTTATCATTTATTAGGGGCAATCCCAGTTTTATCCTTCGCTATTTATCCATTATTAATTCAAACGAAAAATTAACGATTTTTTAGCGATTTTTGCCATGAGGTAAAATTGCACGAATATTGTTCATAAACTTCCAAAATCCGTTTGAATATCCAATTTCATTCCATAGCCTCTTTTTCCAAGGGCTGCCCTAAGCCTGATCCAGGCCTAACTCGATTTTTTTGCCGAGCGATTGTAGAAAATGTCGTATGATATGTTTATTATTTAATAAATGCAAATTTTTTTTGCGGTCATCAATGTAACGATTTTTTTGACTGGAGTCAGTCAGCCTCAGGGAAGTTCTGTCTGCTAAGGCTTTCCCAGCCCTGTTCTCGACGCCAGCCTTTAAAATTCTTGGCAGTTATATTAATTTTTTCGACAACCACTGTTACCACTATTACTTGTACCACTATTTATGTACGACTTCATTCCAAATTATTGGGTAAAATTTACCGGGTAAAGTTCTCGTTGCACCTCAGAATTTTCAAAAATTGATCTATTGTATTTATTAAATTGCTGTGATAATATCATCTGAACGTAAAATAATGTTCAAAGGTGATTCCTCATCATGAAAGCATTGAAGAAACTTTTTTCCTCATATTGCTGCTTAAACCTATTTCGCATAAAAAACGGTTTCGGTCGAACCAGCGCTCAAGGAGGGAGAAAAATTGAATTAGAGCAGGTAGCTTGGTTGAGTGGATAAGGCGTCTCTTCCAGCTCTCACTAACGAATTTAGGGAGCCGCGTGGGCCCGATGAGCCCACGTTGCCGGCCCAGCTCTACAGTGTGGCCGATTTATAATCCGATTCAATAATGCTTTAATAGCATTTTTTCTACATTCTAACAGTTAGAATGTAGAAAAAATGCTATTAAAGCATTATTGAGATTCTGGGTGTGAATGTTATGAATGATAATATTTTGTATAGTGCAACTGGTGATAGTAATAAATCGGCCATTGACATTGTTAATTTCGGTGATATCCTCTCTTGAGACATCCGTCGTTGATGCTTTGCTTTGCTGATAATTGGGTGTTGCTTGTATTGGTCGACTGCCGTTCTCATTCATTGTCGCTTAAGTCGCTGATGATGATACATTGATATTTTCATTAGATGCTCTGAGTGGAATTTCATTGATATTTTCCTGGATTTCTGCTGATTCTAGCTCAAACGGTGCATCCCAGTCATAATCGTCTAGCAATTTTGGAATTTTAACCAGAAGGAGTCATTATTATTATTCGTGTCATCAGCTAGGGGGATACTATTGGTATCAATATTGTCATTAATTTCCATTAATACTCTCTTCAAGGCTTCCTGATGGGGAAAGCTTACAGTTCTCGAAGTACTGGGGAGACACTGATTGGCGATGCGGTGAAATACTTTACTTTTTTTTCCTAGAGAATATCCCACATAATCTTGAGCGATAGCAGCAGATTTCCAGCCACCGTGTTTCATTAACATAGTAGTCTTGCACCCGAATCAGCCAGCAATGTTGTCTCAATTCCAAGTACTGATTAACCGTGTCATAAAATGGCGCCTCGATTACCGGACGTCTTATCTCTCCTTCTTTCTTTATTTCATGAATATCAATGATAGGTCTGTTGCCCGTATCCTCACTGTGTTTTAGCAGAAGAAGAGGGGATTCGCATGATCTAAATGCTCCGAAAATGCCAGAGACACCTGAAAAGTAATGACCCTGCCAATGTGACGACCACCTTATAATATTATTTTTCGAACAACCGATTTTACCTTTATGAGTAGATATTTGTCATCAGGAGCGTTGTCTGAAAATTACCAAACCTGAATGAAAACATTAGCATTAACAGCAGTGTATCGTTTACTTTTCTTAGCCAGAAAAGCTTTGACTCTCAGAAATTTATCGATATCAATATTTACCTTACCGAAAAATATGTCAAGGAAAAAATACCAAACATTGCAGTTTTGGTCGGCTGATGTTGATTCTGAATATAAAAAAGAAATATTTTTTTTTAATAATATTTTTTTTTTATTTTCTTCAATTAACATTTTTACTTCAATCAATGTCATTTCTTGAATAAATAATTGCGGCACCACTTGAACATGACATTGTGGAGTTTGTTCCTTGCCTCTGAAATTAAACAGCTAGTTTTTACATTTCATTTGTAACGTCTGCTTTGAAAATTGATAACAATGTCATGGTGGAGAAAATTTCACATTTTCCATTTTTGACTCATTTCCCCGCTTTTTCTTTTCTTCAGCGACATTTCTCCTCTGTTCCTGTTCTTGAGTGTTACTCCCCATTTGGTTGATTTCAGCCGTGGAGAAGGCCCTTTACGACTCAGGTCATAAAGCCCCGTCACCCGACACAATAAGCTTTCGTTTACCCTTTGTTATGTACTAATAGAGGTCGGGAGCACGACTTGCTCTCAGAGCAGAGGTTGCCCATCCCTGTTCTAACATATCGAAAAATGCCGTTTAATATCAGATAATTTCTCGAAATTGAAAAAAATTCTCTAAAATAAAAATTTTCTTCTCTAGAACTTTGAACAGAAGCTAAGAATAAATTACAAGTTGTAACTGTTAGAAAAAAAATTAAATGTTTGAAAACGATTTTATGGATTAACATTAAATATTTCTGTCGATCTGAAAATGTTTTCTTGTTGTTATGGAGAATTCTAATGTCCTAGAAGTTAAATTATTTTTACCTAATTGCGGTTAAGGCTGTTCTATACCCTTTTTAAGAAAATTCCCGTTTTTTTTTCAGTTGTCTGGCAAACTTACAATGGAATAGACGTGAAAAAATATAACGTTTTTGCGTCCTGTCATTACTTGATGACTCACGAAGTTTCAAGATAGTGCACACATTTTTCTGCGTATTTTGTGAAGTTTTGAAAAGAATCACAAAACTTTTAACATTTATTTCCTCATTGCAAATGCAATATGAAAATTTGCAATGGTATTTTCAGAAATATACTCCAAATATGACAGTGGCAAATTTTTATTTTCCACATTTGGAGTTGCAATATTTGCTCCGAAAATAATAATTACCGTAAACCAATTCCAAAATATGTTCTTGAGGGTCTTTCATTGTAAATTTCAATTTTTTAATTTTCTATTTAAAATGGAAAAAAGAAAATTTGCGCGAGATAAAACGTCGGCCAATCACCAACCTCCATTGTAATGTGCTTTCTGACCTCGGAGTGCAGTTTTTTTTATCTGGTTGTGTGCGAAAATCTGGAGTTTTTCCTTCTTCTATATTGCAAATACGCGAGACCCCTAATGTACATTATTACCAAAGCAATGTATTCAGTGAGCTTAGCAATTGTACATTAATATTTCACTTGGTAAAATTTTCAAATTGAATAGGTAATGAACCGAGATGGATTGTTCGCAATGACTTGATACTTCGTAAAATGAGAACGACGATGAAAAATTAATTTTATTACAAATAAAAAAAAACTAATTCGGCGCAAGTATAATGAAAAGGCATCTATGATGTCGCGCCTGCAATCTGATTATGAGGTTACGCTACCCTTGGAAAAAGAATCGTTTTTTTTCGCTTAACAAATTTCTTATTCTTTTAGAATACTTTAAGCAGCTCCCCATTATGAAACTCCAAATATTTTAGAAGTTACAAAAGTTAGAAGTGGGGCGGCATGGAACTAAGATTGCACTCAGGCCAGGTAGCGGCTTTGTTCCTTCGGAGGAATTTTTCAGGTAACAGTAGTCCAGTTATGCATTAGGATTCTAAGTTCAGTGTGCTTTGGAACATCATAGCGTAGATGTCGTCAAATGCGCATATTAAATCTTTGACTGAAGGTAAACCAAAAAAAACTTCATTTCTAGCTGTTGCCACGCCCTTTTTTCTTCTTTTGCGTTTTTCTCGAAACCAGGTTTTTCAAACTGGTGGACACGATAACTCAAAATCTAACGTACCGATTTCGATGAAATTTTTACCACTTATTCTTTATAAAATTATCTATTAAAATACGAGATTTTCTTTTGAGTCGTTGTTTCATCGTCAAGTTAGAAATTCATATTACCAAAAATTTACATCGAAATCGTGTTTTTTTTTTCAAATCGCTGCCATTTTTTCAACAAATTAAAAAAATTTTTTCCCCCCATAGTTCCATGCGATTATCTGTCTAAGTAATCAATTTCTTTTTGGATTTCTCAAATGTAGTCCCAGTGAGAAGGCGTGTCCACCGTTAACAAGGATTTGGAAAAACAGGCACTAACCAAAGACTTATATTCCCGCCATTTTTTAATTGAAAAAAAATTTTTTCTTGAAAATTGTTCGGAAATATCTATGATATGGATATAAAATAAAAGTTTTCGTATAAATATTATATGTGCGTTAAAAAACAAATTTTTTTTTTACCCTGTTTTTCCGAGCGTCAGGGAAGTGTAACCTCTTAATTAAAATGAGAATTAAAAAAAAATTTCGCAATGCCATACATTTTTCTTATCGCATGGAAAGAAATTAATAATATTTTGGTATCTTACGTAAAATTTGATTAGATTGTTGTCGAAGGATCAAGGCTTCTGATTAATGGAATTTTATGATTATTGTGTCAGGTTCTGACGAGAATTTCGACATAAATTTCAATAATGCTCAATGGAAAAATTCAATTGGAATGATTAAGAATCATTATTTTCGTTAATATTCATCATCATATAACATTCATCATCATAGGCACGTTGATGAATAATTAATTTTGGAGAAAGAACATATGAATGGACGAAGCTGCGATAATCTCGTAATCCGATAATCTCGAACTCGAATATTGCATTGAAGTCGTATTGCTTGATAACAAGTCGAACTCGAAACTCGAGCATAAGTACAAGTCTCGATAAGATCAGCAACACATAACGTTGGTAGGGAAATGGGTCTAAATTACAAGAAATATTTCCCATCGCAAATATAAAGAAGCATATTATCTTTTAGATAGGGATAATTTGTGTTTCTCTTAGCAGGGGAGGAATTTTACAGATTTTCCCCGACTTAGAACTTCTTTTTTTCCCGTTACGCGGCGCGGAACAGCATTAGTTCTGGCGGATTTATGAACACACAAACGACCGGTGGCTCACACTGAAATTCCACTATAACTCTATATTGATAGGTAAAATGTATTTTCTACAAGAACGTTCGTCTGGAATGCTGAAGGAATTTTATCCATTTCTTATTACATTATTTCTTTCTTTAATTGCTTCAGTTCTAGTCCGCCCGTGTCCTACAGAACACCTTTCGCAGCTTCTTTTGCTGCTATTGTTGGGACTGAATTTCTGGGGAACAAACACTGTAAGGGGACTCATTTCTGCTGGCAGTGAACAAAAATAGTCGATTGTAGCGGTTAAATTAATCACTTCATAACTTCAACACCCTTCTATTGTCTCAATCATTACTGAACTAATTGGCTATTAGAATTTTCAACCATAAACTGTTTATGTGTTTATTCATTGATTTTATATTCCCTTTGGAGGTATTAACATAGTTACATGGAATTTTAATCGGAACCACCCGCTGCTTGTGTGTTCATTAGTCCACCAGGGGAGGAATTCTGCGCGTTTTATGTTAACATGAAATCTCATTATTTCGCTTCCGTCAGGTGGAGCGCAGGCTTTATTTATGTCACATTTCAATCGGTTTTGGAACGTTTGTTTGGTGCGTAATAAGGGGAGGGATGAGAATTACAGTATGGCCGCCGTGCGTTCAACTTAGTGCTCCAAAATGAACAAATAATTAGAAATTGAAATGAAACTTGAGAAGAAACAAGTTGGCATCGAGTTATTATTATTAAAGTACTCAAAATCATTTTCAGCTCTCAAAGTAGTGGATTTATGAGGAGCTGCGAAGCATAGGGGCTCGGTTCCGAATTAGGTCCACTCTTCATTTTTGAAACTGGGCATAAAAGCGCGGGGCGGCCATACTGTAATTCTTATCCCTCCCCTCATTATTCGCCAAACAAACGTTCCAAAACCAATTGGAAATACGACATAAATAAAGCCTGCGCTCCACCTGGCGGAAGCGAAATAATGAGAGTTTATGTTAACATAAAACGCGCAGAATTCCTCCCCAGAACTACACTGGGAAAAAAATGTTCTTTAGCCAATAATACTTACTAACCACAAGAAAATAAATTTGGCATTAGTAAGTCTTATGGAAGTATTTACACACTGATTGTCAGATTTACTGGTGGTTTGTAAATATTATTGACTAAAGAAAATTTTTTTCTTTCTGTAATGGTGCTGCGCGCCTCCTAACGAGAGAAAAAAAAATAAGGTTTAAGTCGGGAAAAACGCGCTAAATTCCCCCCCAGAACGAACACCGTTTGTCTTTAGAGGAGGGGGTAGGTATGAATAGTGGGGAAAAGTTGCGTGGTCAGTATTGGAAATAAGATTTGGATTACGTATGGACGAGTAAGTAGTGCCATCAATTATTGTAATGAGGACTACGTGCATAGCAGCCTTTGAATCACGACGTACTGATTTAATCGTTTATCGAAGCTCCCTTCCTAATTTTGTAACTACATTGATTAAAGTCGTTATCCAATTTATTTAACAATTCTAACAGTCAGTTTGAGGTCACCTGGTCACTTGTACGCTATCGAGGTGGGGTGAACTGAGTAGACTGAAAGCAATCAGCATGTGTTGAGCTGTTGCCACTCTTGAGTAGACTTCTGGATACGTCGTATTTACATTGAGTTTCTTGAAGGGACCCACAGTAATATATACATTCAAATATTTCTATGACTTTCCAGTCGTATTATTATTTTAATTCCTGAAATCTTTCTCGTTCTTTGAATACGAGAAATCAGGCAGTTTTATTCATTGTGTGAGTGCAATCGAGATTATTATGTGAAATCCAAACCACAAATATTCATACTGAATTTCGTAAGCAGCTTAAGAAATCTCAAGGAAACAAAATTGATAAAGTATGCGACTGAACATGAGGACAATTACTTCAGGGTCTATCTGTTTCGGTGAGTCCAGAGTTCATCTTGAGAAAATGATCATATTACATATTCTTTATTGTAGAGTTATTGTTATGGATAATGAAAATGAACAACAGAAGAGAGAATGAGAATTAGAATGTATTTTTTCTATATATGATATGTTTATATATGTAATTATACATATTATATAGATAAAAAAATATTCCCATTGACTTTCATTAAACCATCATATTGACGAATGAAATCATTCATTATCAGAATAATTGAGTAAATAATACAGATATTTTTGGAATGTGAATTCTTTGCTGATAATCAGTTATTTCAGACGTGATAATCGAGTTTCCACGGGCATAGCTCCCCAACTGAACATTGATCATTGCTTCCTAAGGTTACAAAGAAGCTTAGATTAGAGATAATCCATGAAATACGATTGTTCGGGGATTTTATTTCTGCAAAAGAAATGCATAAATTTCAATGCAAACAGTAACATATTTACATGTAATTCACATGTAATAAGAATATAGTCCGTGTCCTCTTTCCCACTACATTATTTTTCCTATGTTACATTTCGATCACAATACTGCCATCTCCTTCATTATTACCGTGTTAGTGAGTGTTATCCACAGGATGAGTGTTTTTTATGTGTATCACTAGGTTAGGTATAGGGAACGACTGAATGTTACTTTGATTTTTTACACAGAGAGAAAAATGCATCACTATTTCGTGTGAGTCCATTCAAAAATTAGTGTGCTATTCACCAACCCATGGGACGAAACCGTGGTCAACAAAAAATTCGGATGTGGCGCCCCAATTTGTAAGGGAGTCTCACGGAAAAGTAGCGTAAGTTTTTCAAAAATTAGGGTGCCACATCCGAATTTTTCGGGTGGGTCATTCGAATTTTTTGTTGACCACCGTTTGGTCCCATGGGTTGGTGAATAGCACACTAATTTGTGGTAGAATTTTTCTCAGTGTATGTCGCCATCCATTTCGCAATATGGATCGTTGCACGAACGACGCAGAAAAATTCAGATCACTGAACTTTGACAAATGATAAAAGTGAACAGCAAAAATCCATAAACCGTATCGGAACCCAATATTAAATCATTTCTCGGAACATTTATCAAATCATTGGACCTTAGTCTGGTCACCCTATCCCTACTCTCATTTATATTAGTATTTTCGCTTCAGATTTTGACTATTTTTAAGTTCTAACTTTTTATCCCTGTATCAGATGTATCGATGCTTTATACTGGTAGCGTCGCGGCGGTAAACGGATGAATGTTTATCAAATTTTGAATTTCTGTGCTCATAGTACTTGCCTCTACCTATAGTGAAAGTATAAATCCATTGGGATTAAGAAGACGAATTTCCGGATTCAGATTATGATTAAGATTTGATTTCCCGTTTGAATGGTAACTCATGTCGGAATTTCCATCAAAGTCGGACACAATAATGATTAAATTTTCTATAAAGCAGAATTTTCGGTTTTGCTTCTGAATGGAAGCATTGCAATCGTTCGATTTTCCGATTTTGTAATTTTCCCTGGAAACGACGTAAAATGGTCTGAAATGTAAAAATACGAAGTTTGAAGAACGTATGTGTATGTGATGATTGTTAACGGAGGGTCAATGACAAAAGAGTAAATCAATTCCTAAACATTTCAAATGTGGCCAGTTCATAATAGTTCTAATCTGGACTTGATCTGTGCTGAATTTCAGTCGGATCGGTTGAGTAGTTTTTTTAAACATCAGTGTTTGTTTCTGACAAGTTTTTTGCCAATATCTCAGAAAACTATCCAACCGCTTACATTTTTTATTATTTTTAAATGTTTATCTCAGTGTGTTCTATATGGATCAGCCAGAATATATATATATATATATATATATATATATATGTATGCAAAGTTTTCAAGGTATTTCAATTTTCATGTTTTTCAAAAAAATGCGTCCACTTTGATTTTTAAAAAGTAACTTATCAACTTGAAATTTGGTAGAAAGATTCCTCTGATGATTGCAATGTTTGGGATTGCAAATGGGCTAGATCGGATAATTCGTTCAGGAGATATTCAACTTATATGAAACGATTTTGTCAAATATCTCAAAAACGACTGACGTTGAAATAATTTAATGAAAATATTATGCTGAAAAGTGGAATGGTGATGACTATATTTTTCATTTTTTTATATTAAATATAATCTCATAGTTGAGTAATTTGGCGAGGTAGGATGTTCTCAGGGTCAACTTTGCTTTTTTCTTTCAAATGATAGAAAAGAGAAAATTCGCTCCAAAAAGCTGAGAGATTACAGGTATTCTATTCGAAATGGTAAAATTAAAAAAAAGTAAATAAATAACATGTGAAGTAACAATCATATGTCTTCTATCGTTAGGAATGGCCGACTGCTTGTTTGCTGCCATTTTCATTTCCCCTCGGCTCGCCTGTAAAACAATTAAATTATTATTGGGAGCAAATTATGATTCATGATCGTATTCACTATTACATTAATCCGGAAATTGGATCGTTCAGTTGTAATTTAGTTCAATTTTACATAAAATTACCAAATCTTATAAATTTTAGCTTCTGAATGAAAGCATTCTAAGCATGCAAATTTAGGTTTTCGACTTTTGGTGTTATAACGATTGGTTATGATGACAAGAGTACGAATATGTATTTTTAGAACGTGTACGTACGCGTGTACTAGACTTCACGAAAAATTAACAATATTTTTTTTTTATCTTGCACCCTCGAAAAATGTCCGTTATAGATTCAAGATTCTTATCTCTTAGTTGGACCATGCAGCAATTTTTCCCGAGTTGCTCAGACGATTGTTTTCCCATTCAATTAATAAGTAAAAAATGATAACATGTCACATAATGTAACATACACTTCCGAATTATTCTTAAATTACTACATGAGCTTTGTTATTAATAAATATACGTACCCCAGGATATTTCTGTAACAAAATTTCTGGGAAATATTTTAAGAAGAAGCTAGGCCAATTATAACAACTTTGGAATATTGAAAATCTTATGATTTGTTCCTTTTCTATGCCCAGAAAAAATCTTTAAAAAATCGCACAAGTGTGAAATGATCCAGGTATTGCTTGAGAATGTAAAAGGAGCTCTTTTAAATATTTGTAAGTGATAAATAAGTCAAAATGAATAAATCGAAGGTGTACCTTCGTTTTTTCCCAACAATAACGAAAATTTTTTTTGTATGTCATAGTAGTTGTGTCTTTATTATCAAATCAAAAATTAATGATGATTGTAAGCGTTCATTTTTTAAAATTTATTTCATAATTTTCCAAAGAGTAGTTACTTAGTGATGAATATTCTCCAACTCAACAAGCAGATGTAATGAATGAATGAATCTTTATCGCGCTAATTGAAGTTCATTCAGGTATTTTCCACTTTTACGTATTAATTAATTAGCAGAACGATTTGCTCAATGAAGAGATATGAGACATAGTTTTCAAAGGTGCGAGGTCCAAAAAATAGTATTCCCAATTTTTTAGGACGCCTGGGGGGTACCTAAGTGTGTGTCCGTAACATACGCTTTCGTTAGAATCAATGGAATTGAATGAATTTTTCCTCTCAAATATGGGTATGTGTGAGTTCAATTCATCACTATAAATTAACAATTAATTTTTTAATTTATTATTTGAAAATCAGTTATTACACAATAAAAATAAATGTCTCCGATTGATCGAATAACGGTTTAAAAAATGGGATCTCCTCGTAGCGGAGCTGGGAGGCAAACCTGTCAGCAATACTTCTCAGTTTAATTTTTCGCAAAGTGATAAATGAAAGTTTTTGTCATGATATGAAATTATTGTGGATATTTTGGAATATTTGTCTTCGGATGCAGTCAATCATAACTCAAATTGCTTGGTCCAACGCTATTCAGTGGACGCTGAAAGATAATCACCATAAGTTCTCTGATACGTGTCATTTTTGTGACTATTTTTAGAATTCTGCAAAATTATCCTCTTTTCTTTATTTTTGTGTTCCTTGATGATATTCTTCAATTAAGGTTGTTGTCGCGAGAGAGTCAGGCTTAAAATTTACTACGCTCCGGGTTGATCTTCCGCTAAGCGGAGAATACGAGATAGAATATAAACTTTTGCGGGTGTACAGTTCCACTCGACTCATGCACACAAGAATGTACTATGCATGGATAAATGTACACACAGCTAACGCTAAATGGTGCCGATTGTGGCAACCGCGCGCAGCGTGTCTCTGATTTCATGTCTCTCTCTTTCTCACTCAATGTATTTATTTTATTTATGAATCGTCCCTTTGATTCGTCATTGACTGTTCCAAATAGATTCGCGCCACTCGAGCAAAAAGCGTTGTTGTCGCGTCGCGTGCAACAAACCCATGCGCTCCGCCCACTGGGAGAAATAATGTTACTTTGAAAATTTATGGGTCTACTACGAAACTGACGATCACTTTCTTTTTTTTTCAGTATATTGGTGGTCACTATTTCTACGTTCTGTGTTAATTTCATCAAAAAATGTCGAGTGGTTTTTTTTTTTTAATAAAAACGGTAAAATGCATTTGAACCCATGTTAATTCAAAAAATCATATCTCAGCTCAGAAACTGACGATTGGTTTTTTGTTGTGCTCATTTTGAAGGGAATTTTAAGAGCTATCTATAGCAGAAATTTTTAAAAAATCTGTCGAGAAACGCGTTTACACGACAACAACCTTAAAGTTTTCAAATTGATCCCTTTATTCACAAATGCATATTTCCTTAGAAATTGGTATAGAAATTTCGGAATAGATATAGAAAATCTTCCTAGAGAATGTTACTAGATTTGTATCAAAGTTGAACATGTATCGAAAAGTCTGTCGGAAGTGAAGTATATTGTTATCAGCCTAACTCATTAAGGAAGCTAATATCAACTGCACAGTCATTAAAAACCGAGTGGTCCAGGTGATATTACATATATAGATATATGATAATAGAGTATAAACGAACTTTCCGTCTAGGTATGACGGAATAGTATATTTCTCACTCAGCCTCTT